GACGTCTGTTTAAAAGCTCTCGAGATTCAATAACCCCTCTGTTCGCCTTCGTATGTTGTTTATAACGTGTATTTACGCGATGAGACTTTTAGTGGAGTAGTTTTCCCAAAACCTCAATTTATAATCAGCAAATGGCCGCCCAGGTCATTGTGTGCAACCCTTTATAAACCACGTGAATGAACTTCAGGACCAATGTGTCCTAACCTGTTTAACCTGACCACAAAGTGTAACTGTTGCTGCTCAGTAATAAGATGCTGCCATGAGTTAGGGTTGATGATTCCTTCGAGGGCTGCACTCCGATGGCTTTAAAATCCACAACTCATCCATAAGACGTTTCCGGAATACATTTCATACATATAGCGGTGGTCTTTTACGTGAACAAACCTGAGTGAGAATAACCCCTGGGTGCACAGCTGAGCACTGCGTGAGGGACAGGTGAGTTGCCGCTATAGGTTTAAAAAAATATTGGTTTAAATAATAATATTGGCCAGAGGATTGCTGACAATACGTATGCACGTTGAACTTCTTTCGCACCGTACGTAGCCAACCGTTCTAATCGGAGGCGCGGGGGAAGGACAATAGAACTGAACGCAACAACAACAATAACAACAAGTTCTAAAGAAATGAGGGAATGTAAAAGTGCACGGCTCCCAGCGGGCTTCCTGAATATCGGCAGGAGGGAGCGACGCAACGGGACGGCGACCGCCGCCTTTCGTTCGACGGCCGAGCCAAAGGCCGCGTCCGTGTCACGTGGTTGCTGAGCGCCGCAAACCCTCACCAGGGAGGGGGCACAGCGGGGGGGGGGGGGGGCACAGCGAGGGGGGGGCACAGCGGGGGGGGGGGGGCACTGCAGCCCCCCCCCCCCCGTTGCGTGCGGCCTCTGCCTTTGCTGCCATCTCGTGGCCCTGTGCGGAATTGAGTTGGTGCGCGATGGAACTTTTTTTTTGAAAAAATCTTGTACCACGAAAGAAGGGGTCGTTGCCCGAAACGTCGCCCATTATACATGCTCATGAACTGAATTGCATTTGTGCGTTGTTCAAGGACGTATTGAGTTTGTTGTTTTAGAGTTTGCGTTCGTGCACTACTGGCAACGCAACGTCACCAAATAATTTAACTGTCATCATCAGACTGTCATCCTGCACTGGAAACAAGTTTTGCTGGATCCATATACTCTTTGGTTCTATTCGGTAAAGTCACGTAGGTAAAAAATAAAACAACAAAAATCACGACGTTTCGGCCACAACACAAGCGGCCGAAACGTCGTGATTTTTGTGTTTTATTTTTTTTACCTACGTGACTTTACCGCCGAGAACCAAAGAGTATGGATCCTTGCAGTCACGAAAGCTTCAAATCTAGAAGTTTTGCTGGCTGGAGGCAGCGAGGGACGGATGCACGGACGTCCACAGTTCTGTAGTAAGGATTGAGAATGGGACCTCCTTGTCGAGTGAGAACTCGGTTGGTCTCGAGCAGCGATATCTTGCAGTGATGAGAAAACCCATCATAATAAAAAAAAACAACTCGCAAATGCGTTTGCCAAAAGCACTCGCCCTTTCTGCGTTATGCAAAACCCATCGGCAGCAGCTCCCGAAGTACTGCACTGTGGTCCTGTTGTCTTACATCAGCGTCAAGATAGAATTGATCAAATGTGACTGATTGACAGGCAGCGGTGAGACGAGAGCAGGCAACTGTGGACCAGCTTTGTCCTGATTAGGACTCATCAGCGCACTATAGTCATCAATGTTCGCTGCTGCAAAGTCTGCCCCTGTGAAACTAGAGAGTGCCCACATCTACACGATGGGGTCCATTAGCTTGGCAAATGCCAATAATAATCAAATCTGTAGATGACAAGGAAACCCGTCAACATAACAGATGGATAGGACAGGCCGGAAAAACGTCGTGTTTCCAACAAGATACAAAATAACGCGAGAACAGTACCAGGAGGGAGTTGACAGAGGAGTCGATTTGTCGTGCAGTGTGGATGTGTGGATGTGTCGGTACCTTAACACTGCTTGCACCGTGCATCGCCGTGAAATGGTACATCTGCATGTAGCAAACATCAGAAATGAACAGCACAGGTACTCGAGTGTGTGAAGGATCACTGTGGCAACAAAAACAACTGCCACTCTCGATCGCAACATCGCCTACAAGACCTCAGTTCGCCCTCCTCGTCCATGCACGGGGAGGAGACAAGGTGGAGCAATCATTCACCGAGCCGGAGGCGTTTGTCACGCACGAGACGCCCTCTGGCCTCCCACCGTTCACAAGAGACGTTGGGCATTTATACATAACAATATATACACACACAGTGCAGTGTGCAATTCCCTCTGCCTGCGGGAAGTACATACTTCTTGGTGTGAAGCCACATCGGTATCGGGAGATGTTGGGTTCTCACCAGACTGGTCCCTCATGTGCCACTGGGTTGGCAAGATCTGAATTGCGAGGACTCCCACTTGATCGCCAGCTACTGGAGAGTTTCTGCATTAGCGGGGGGCTGCGTTAATTAGTAATTCGTGGTGTTAATACATTATTCTGAAAATGTCCCACCCATCGCAGCACGCATGACGCAGCATGTTGCTGTTCGTCGCGTAACACAATTGGCAGCTCTTTGCAGATAATGTGAAGGTAACTGCTTTTATCCGCAAATTCATCGAGGAGGGGTATCAATGCTCATTCGCAACAGGAAAATGAAAGATCCCGCCAACCTTTTCCCAGCAGCAAGATAACGTGCCAGCTGTTTTTGACCCTGGCGAGGGATGCCGTTTGCAGTGTCTATCTCCGCTCCTGCCAAAAATTACACTCATCACTCGTTTAAGTGCAATCATCAAGACTTCACGTATTAATACAACTCTGAGACGCTATGACACAAGCTCAGCCAGATGTAAATTCCGCAGCGCACTACCGTAATCCATTTTATATATATAAAAAATTGTGACAGTTTTGTTATTCTGTAATCCAAATTAATACTTGCAGTTCTAATTGAGCAGTGTGGGTAAATTAACATTAATGTGACGGAATATAATTGCAGTATATCACTCAAACACGCCAAAACAAAGGGAAATAACAAATGTATTGTCAACACTTAATTTCACACTATACATAACCATGTAAACATTTACTTTATATTCTAGATGTCATCTTTTGTTTATGCAATTCAAGTTTTAACTTGCTGTGATTATTTTTTAAAACATATTAAAGCATGCACCTTGAATCTCTACACCACTACGATCTTTACAATCATCCTGCTTTTCTTGATATGGCATTAAGGAGACCTTTATCTATTTTGTTTATATCAGTACTTTGCATTCCAAAATATTGCCACTTTAGCCAACACGCTTGCCCAGTGCACAGAAAAAATCCTCAACGTTTTTTGTCGTAGCCCTGAAAGCAAATACAAACTTCAGTTATAAAGCTTTTAAATACAATTGCATAGTTGAACTGGATATCTGCTTATTTATATTGCATTTTGGTACAGATGTTGTACAGTACATTTCTTAGTTATTTATCTTCACTATATAGATAAGGTTCCACGGATTGAGTTGCTCATTGGCAATCTTGAATGCAGAGTTTTAGAAACTGGTAAGAGTCATCTCTACCAACTAAAGTCGAATTGATTTCTATTGTTTACGATCGCAATTCATTTTATTCAAACAACATAGACGTTTAAAGTATTTTTTATTTTGATACTTTGCAGTGTATTTGCAAGACATTCGATGCACACTTATCCATTGCCCTCTTACCTGCGACTGCGATTATCCGTGGCATCAAAATGGTCTCTGTGGATAGTCACTTTATCCGCACAATTATCAACCCTATTATCCACGATTATTCACGTTTTCTTGCGATGGAGTCAACGATGCGGATACCAGGATAGGCAAAGTTCCTTCTCCACAACTGCACGGATAAGGGGATTTCTACTGTGTATAGCTTCATCATATTAACAGTTATCGACACTTTATTACTTTAACTCCTGCACTTGATGTATATGTTATGACAGTAATTTCCTTATATCCAAGTATCCCTTGTCAAATATACCTTTGTCTCAATGCTGTTCCCAAAGTAGAGCTTCCATAGGACGTGAATATCCCTCAGCACTGTATCTCACCGCGCGTACGCATGCGGGGCACGATGGATAGGGGCCCTAAATGGCACCTGCCATCAGGTGATCTGCACAGCATTCAAGGATATTGACTGCTCGAAAATAGACATTAGATACCACATGCCATCGTAATGTGATGATTTTTACATGCGAATGTTAAGTCATAAAAGCTCAGCATGCGTATTATAGTTTATCGTCTTATATCACCTGCCAACACGTTTGGGAACATTTAGCATTTTATGGAATTGTTTAAGCATAACGTTTTTATTTTTTAATCACTATTTAATCTCAATATATTCAAATTGTGCTGTCAGTGGCATGCGATGATGAGATGTCCTTTGGGAACTCTGAGAGTCAGCAGTGTTAGAGAATGACCCGTGCAAGGTGATATCAGAACTCTCAAGTATTCTCTTTCGGGTTAGACCATTGACTAACATTTTGAGTATGAGTGGCTGTGAAAAAAATCCTCCGTAACTGAATAGATATAATAACTCCACTGGAGGTCCCTTCAAGTGATCGTGTTGATGGGTGGGACTTCATCTTCCCACGTGGCCTGCTATAGGGCTGTTGGCCACGTGGCAGTCAACACTTATTAATTTTGTCATTGTCAGAGCTGGATTTTTAAAAATACAAAATTAAGTAACAGACTAAATGTAACGTGATTATGTGTGCGTGTGTGTGTGTGCAATCATTGATGGCTGGACCCAGTTTCATAAACTCACTACACTTAAGAACCCAGTTTTATCGTGGGCGGTTGCATCCTGGATCGGAGCCCAAGGCTCGGCGCGCAGAAGACACCCGGGTCGCCGGGCCATCTCGAAAGCGCAGCGGCACCATCGTCCGAGTGTAACCCAACGTACGCCGCCGTCTGTGTGTCCGTTCGCGTGTGTCCCGACAAACGCAGCTCATATGGCTGCCCACTGCCGAAGAAGCGGCGCAGCATGGACAAGGCAGTGGTCGCCGCACCGCCCCCTGGCAAGCGCCGCTACCGATTGCTCAAGCTCAACGGCTCCGCGCAGGAGGAGTTTTTTGAGGTTGAGGAGGAGCCTGAAGAGTCTGATCGTGGGGATGCCACCCTCGAAACGGAACGCCAAGATGATCGGCAAGGAGAGGAGGAGGAGGAGGAGGCGGGACGGAGAGTAGGGGGTGACGGAAGCGTAGAGGAGTGCGTGAAAACGAATTACCATGACGAGTCAGGTACGGTCATTTACGTTTGATGTCAAGTGCCCCGCTATACATGTATTTTGTTAAAATACTTGCTTGAGCGGTTGTATCATGCTATCTCCCTGGCTTGTCTTAACATAATATGTATTTGCTCTGCATCATATGAATGTGTTTTTACAAATGCAGCAATTACAATAACTTTGGTATGTTTATTCGTTTTCATAAGCAGTGGCAGTTCAACACAATTGGTATATTTTCCACTATGACATATCGGTGAAACACAGAGACAATAATTTATCAAATGAAAGCAAAAGCTGAAAATAATGCACGTAAACTTTGAGAACTGCATGCTTCAATTCCACTGAAAGACAAAAAGAGGAACAGATGGATATGCTGACCCGACCATACTGGACATCTATGGAAAAAGAGCTTCATAGCTCATCGGATTCCTCCTCCAGTCTAAATATAGACTCTGATTCGAATGGGAACAAATATACACACGTGAGAGACATCATCATGACTGTCTGGGAAAGTGCAGTCAGTGGATTTGAGCAGGACACATCGTTGCGAGAGATGATGGCCAATGGTCGAAACTGGTGACAGAATGACAGCGGAAGGGAGATAGACATCCCCAAGAGGACAAAGCACAGTGGCGTTGGAAAGATTAAATGAGCTCATGGTGCTGGACTGAGATGGATTGTGGCATTGCGAGTCCATCAGGCAATGTGGGGAGGCCTTCATCCTGTGTGTTGAACTTTTTTTGCACCGTAACGCAGTCAACCGTGCTAATCTTGCGGTTGATAGATCGCTGATGCTGATCATGATGGCAATGACAAATATGGGTTATCACCACATTAAAACTGCTCTATTCCATTATTCAATTAATACCAACGCTCGGCATCTTTACAGTGGGAAGTTTTGGCGAATCTCACGAAAGTTTTGGCTTATCTCACAAAACAGAATAAAGACGAGCATTGGCCGGATAGGAGATCCACTGGGGATAAATCAGGATATAGATCTGTGGTGCCTTATAGTCTGCGATTGTTTCCCGGGATTTCGATTAATTGAAGTTTGCTCCAATTTGCACTATTGCGATCTCATTTGTACAAAAAGTAAAAAAAAATGCATATGATGAGTTGGCATGGAACATACTGTATATCTTACAAAAACATTCACCGACTGGGGCTAACTTGGCACTTGATACCAACTACCCTTTTTACTGTTTATTTAAAAACATTACGCTGGGAAGACATGAGTAAAGTGTTCACTTTGGTTTGGGAGTATTGTGGCTAAAGTACTTTAACTGTGTGGGGCTGCACACTGTTTTGCATCATTTTATGCTTTGCTTTCTTTGACAGGAAGATAGCTCCCATTTTTGAACTACTGCTCATGTAACCACCGCAGCTTTTTTATTGGACTTTCCAGCTGTAAACTTGGCATGAAACAAAAAGCGTGAAATATTTTTGTTTATATAAATTTCCCCCCCCAAATTTTACATTTCCAGCATTATTTTTTGTATGTTGTAAATTCAAAACTCCCAGTCATGTGAACGAGGTGAGAGCAAAAAAAAAAAGTTCCATGAATAATCAATGAGGCAGGCCTCATGTATTATTTGTGAGTGCACCAATGCTCGTCCTGCCTTATGTAAAGGTGAGAGTGGTGCAAAACAGTGATGTCACCTGCTGTTAGCATGCATTGGATGTTGTCTGCGGATGCATTAATTCCATTGCATACACACAGCATGTACGTATGTGTGTGCTGAACTTCTTTCGCACCGTATGTAGCCAACAGTGCTAATCGGAGGTGCGGGCGAGGGGGAAGGACAACAAACTAAACACGAAAAGAAGTTCTAAACATAGATTTAAGAGTGCATGGCTCCAGTGGCTCCCTAATATCGGAAGCATAATGAATAATGAGAATCATCGTCCATGGTCAATCCACTGCTGGGTGAACGGCTGCACAGTCTCGCAACGCAGGGATGTCACAATCCACGTAGCTCCTCCTGAGCTGATTTTATCGCTCCGTCTCCACTGTTGACGTGCCCCTGGGCAGATATCGTACCACATATATTTGTAATTAAAACGTAGAGTATATATAACAATACATTATTATGTACTGTATGTAATAATGTATTGCTGTATTACACGAAATAATATACAGTATGTAGTAAAGTTATATGTCGCTGTGTTCATGTTGTGACGTTCCATTTAAACATTACTGTCGCTTGTAGTTCGGTTTAAATGCCTGAGATGCATTCAAGCAATCAAAGGCATATTCCTAATTCTTAAGTTTCAGTGCAAATGTCCGACTCAGAACCAAAGCATTTCATATTTAAGATTTGATGAATAAGTTTTGTCATGTTCCAAATTTTACTCATGCAGAACTAGAATCGCAGGCGATATCACGGAACTCCTCCTGATATCCCTCGTGCACACAAGAGATGCTTGCGCTTATCACGGATTTTGCAAATGGGGATGTTTGTCACGTCACAGGCAACCCCGCAGTTAAGCTTTTGATGATCAGAGCTGAGCTTTGTGCCAAATTAAGTCGAAACCCAAATTAAATAAGCGGGCATTTTGGCACACATATCGTCAAGTCTGTCCTCCTAATTAAAAGCATAATGATTATCTAAATGTTTGATTCTTGGATGAAAATGTTTGAACTTAAAAAAATCCACCTTGTGCCCCTTTCTCATCCCTAACATCAGGGGTACTCGAACTGCTCAGTGTTTTAAAAGCGGAACCCTCCAACAGTTTGTATCTGGAGATTTTTAAGGGTGCTGAATCAAATATGACGGCATCGTTCTTTTGGTATTTTCTGGAAGATCGCGAGAGTGTGATGCTTGTACAGTGAGGGAAAAAAGTATTTGATCCCCTGCTGATTTTGTACGTTTGCCCACTGACAAAGAAATGATCAGTCTAAAATTTTAATGGTAGGTTTATTTGATCAAGGAGAGACAGAATAACAACAAAAACATCCAGAAAAACGCATGTCAAAAATGTTATAAATTGATTTGCATTTTAATGAGGGACATAAGTATTTGACCCCCTCTCAATCAGAAAGATTTCTGGCTCCCAGGTGTCTTTTATACAGGTAACGAGCTGAGATTAGGAGCACACTCTTAAAGGGAGTGCTCCTAATCTCAGCTTGTTACCTGTATAAAAGACACCTGTTCACAGAAGCAATCAATCAATCAGATTCCAAACTCTCCAACATGGCCAAGACCAAAGAGCTCTCCAAGGATGTCAGGGACAAGATTGTAGACTTACACAAGGCTGCAATGGGCTACAAGACCATTGCCAACCAGCTTGGTGAGAAGGTGACAACAGTTGGTGCGATTATTCGCAAATGGAAGAAACACAAAAGAACTGCCAATCTCCCTCGGCCTGGGGCTCCATGCAAGATCTCACTTCGTGGAGTGCAATGATCATGAGAACGGTGAGGAATCAGCCCAGAACTACACGGGAGGATCTTGTCAATGATCTCAAGGCAGCTGGGACCATAGTCACCAAGAAAACAATTGGTAACGCACTACGCCGTGAAGGACTGAAATCCTGCAGCGCCCGCAAGGTCCCCCTGCTCAAGAAAGCACATATACATGCCCGTCTGAAGTTTGCCAATGAACATCTGAATGATTCAGAGGACAACTGGGTGAAAGTGTTGTGTTCATATGAGGCCAAAATGGAGCTCTTTGGCATCAACTCAACTCGCCGTGTTTGGAGGAGGAGGAATGCTGCCTATGACCCCAAGAACACCATCCCCCCCGTCAAACATGGAGGTGGAAACATTATGCTTTGGGGGTGTTTTTCTGCTAAGGGGACAGGACAACTTCACCGCATCAAAGGGACGATGGACGGGGCCACGTACCGTCAAATCTTGGGTGAGAACCTCCTTCCCTCGGCCAGGGCATTGAAAATGGGTCGTGGATGGGTATTCCAGCATGACAATGACCCAAACACACACGGCCAAGGCAACAAAGGAGTGGCTCAAGAAGAAGCACATTAAGGTCCTGGAGTGGCCTAGCCAGTCTCCAGACCTTAATCCCATAGAAAATCTGTGGAGGGAGCTGAAGGTTCGAATTGCCAAACGTCAGCCTCGAAACCTTAATGACTTGGAGAAGATCTGCAAAGAGGAGTGGGACAAAATCCCTCCTGAGATGTGTGCAAACCTGGTGGCCAACTACAAGAAACGTCTGACCTCTGTGATTGCCAACAAGGGTTTTCCCACCAAGTACTAAGTCATGTTTTGCAGAGGGGTCAAATACTTATTTCCCTCATTAAAATGCTAATCAATTCATAACATTTTTGACATGCGTTTTTCTGGATTTCTTGTTGTTATTCTGTCTTTCACTGTTCAAATAAACCTACCATTAAAATTATAGACTGATCATTTCTTTATCAGTGGGCAAACATACAAAATCAGCAGGGGATCAAATACTTTTTTCCCTCACTGTAGCTGCTCGTGAATGAAGCCCGCTGCCAATTACCAGGAAATCATATCATATATTGAGGCCTCGAATTAACATTGTATTTTTTTTAAGGTGACAGTTTTAGAAAGCCTTCAAAGCTAAATAATTTGCCTTTAATACGATAATTTAACAGCAAGTGCAGCAATGTACGGCAAATTAACTTCCTATCTTTACAACAGCATGACATTGCGTAAGCGTCTGTGACAGCACCTGCATTATACGAGATATATATACTGACTTTTGAATTTTGCTCTCTTGCAGGTAACCGGTCTGTGTTAGCGGTCACGCAGCTAGATGATGTAAGGGATGACAGCAATCCGGACGAGTATGGAAACTATGAGGAGTTGGTGGCCAAGTCTCTACTGAACCTGGGGAAAATTGCAGAGGAGGTGGCCAATAGTGCAATGAATGAGCGTCGAGGCAGCACTGGTAGTTCCAGTGACAGCGAAGACTCACAAGACTCGGACTGGAGGAGTCACAACCATCTTACGGCACTGGAAGCTGATACACAAGGAAACCGGGGCTTCTACTCAGAGCAGGAGAAGCCAGGTGAGAACTTTCAGATTCCCGCAGACGGGCGAGATGGCGGTGGCAGAGATGAAGTAGAAGATTCTGTATGTTTGAGCAGCCTAGAATGCCTACGGAATCAATGCTACGACCTGGCTCGCAAACTCAGTGAGTATTCGCAACAGGAAGACGAACGCCCGCACCCGGGACCTGCCACCGACGACAACGCCGACGCCTATAACGGAAGCAGCAGCAGCATTAGCGTCAGCAGCAACGTGTGCGAAAACCCCCTGTCGGTACAAACGCAAGAACACGGCTGCTCAGACATGGTCAACCTCCTGAAACTGGAGGAGCAGCTGAACTCGAAGTCTCCCACCTTTGAAATATCCCCGTCCATGGGGGGCAGCACGGCCAGAGACGACGAGAGCGAGATCAACGATATTGACTGCGAGAGGGACAGCGAGTATGAAGAGCACGAGCGCGACGGGTGCGGCCTTGACAACAGGAGCGATGATAGCGACGACTGCGAAGAGGGCGAAGATGAAGACTCGACAAGTTCTGACAGCACAGATCACTCAGATGAATTTGATTTGGTTAAAGGGAACCTTTGCCTTCTGGAGAAAGCCATTGCTTTGGAGAAGGAAAGGTCAAAGGTCACCAAATCTAAGCACACAGCGGAAGGGCACGTTAAGTACTCCAGAAAGGGGAGCAGAGAACCAAAATATGGAGCAAAAGCGGCAGGACGAATGAAATCGGCTGAGTCCCACAACAGAAAAACGTATCATTCAAAAGGTAACATTCAACAACAACAGAATAACCACTCTACGTTTCCACCACGAGCATACAGTTGCCACTGATTAGCGCTAATGCTGCACTTCAGTACACACGCATTACCTGATGTAGTTTCTTATTAAACGTCTTACACAACCAATAAGTCCGATGCAGTCCAATTCTGCATTACATTTTTCATAAGCACTCATTATTAATAGGATATGAAACACGATGTGTAACAGGGGTGTAACCATGCACCGATTCATCAAATAATGATTATTAAGTTCGCGATACACGCATCAACTTGCAGACCAATAAACGTTATACAATTCCTACATGTTGTATGTAATGGCTACATGTGACTCCCTACAGCCACTAGAGGCCGCTAAAGTGACCACATTATTAAAATAATGGATTCTCGAATCAAATCGCGACCCTCAAATGCAACGATCCCGATTGCATCGCCAGAGTTGCAAATTGTTACGCCATCGATGTTTTACTCATCCCTATTACAATTCCATTATAAATAAAATATCCTTCAACATTACGGATTCCTTTTAATTCGGACAAAACGTTAATTTACTTTGGCTTTGCATTCATGCCATTTACTCTGCATTTTCTATCAACATCGAGCCGACTGTTAAAGGAAGAAGTTACAACATACGCCTTTTCTCTGACAACTTTTAAACATCTTATTTCGGTGCAACTTTCACGATGCGAACTTTGAGCTATTTAACTTAAGCGATTTGCTCTGAGGTTGCTGGTGAAATCGATCAGAGTTTGACAAGCAGGTGATTGATTTAAATTGCTTGGGAATTTATGACTTAAAGGAACGCAGCGCATAAAGCATACTCATGTGATCGAACTCCACATGGCGTGAGCTGAGACAGGATAGGTTTTGTGCTTTGTGAGTTGTATTTTTCTATGGAGATGTGCATACATTTCCTCCGCTAACTTATAGATTATCTCTATCATGAGTTTTAATTTCATATATCTAAGCGCTGATTGGCACTTCACAAATAAAAACATCGATGCATAGATAACGTTTTGTTTCACCAATAAAAAGCACAAGAGAGTTTAGGCTCATTTACGGGCCTTTTGTACCAATGTTTTCCAGGCGAACGTTGTTTCAGCAGGGCTTTCTTATTTTCGGGACGCTGTTTAATACGTCCCGTGATGTACATGGAAGGCTTTTCCCTATAAATGAACATCGAACAGGCCCCACGCTGTTTATGATACCTGGAAAATGAAAACCACTACAAATTTTTGGCAGCTTCAATGCTGCTTAGTCCTGAAGTCTCATTGGCTAATTTACCTAAACGTTATTTCATTCCGACAGTTGAAAATTTTAAATATTGCGATGCCTGGAAAATATCTGTCTCTACATCTTAGAGCACGTAACTACAAATCTCTTGAACAATTGTGACAAAACTTACCAACACAGTTTACAATACCATTGCCTACAACACAATTAGCAGGTGTGCATTAGGGTCCAAACATGTGAGTTTTATGCACACGTAACTCGTGTGCCCATTTGTGTGTTTGCATTTTGGCCACGCACGCATTTCTTTGCGTAGTTGAATATCCTCTATCAAAATCGAGGCTCCCTTAATGGATTGTATTGCCAAGCTGTTTACATTTTTGGTGCTGTATTCGAAGCTTTTCTGTTGTCGTTTAAGTGTGTGCTGAGAAACAACACTGACGTTTCTCAGTTCACTGAAGTGGCAAGCACATCGCACCGTATAACCTGGATTCGTACAGCATCGACGTGTGACTGCATCCGAAGATGCTGTGCAGAAACAGGGCGCCGATTTATTTCATGGAGAGGGGGGCAATCATGTGAAGAGGAAACCGAACGACGGCCTGGAGCCTGAACTTGAGCAAGAAGGGATTTGAGAGCACAGGTGGTGTGGGAGAATGGACTTCCAGACTTTGAAGGGCAGCAGAGGTGAATGAGCGACCTCCCGTTGGGCGAAGGTCGGCTGGGGGGCTTGGACAGAAAGCCTTGGCTCCCGGAGCCGAGAGGTGCGTGGAGGGGAGTGGTGAGATAATAAGGAGAGAAGGGTAGGCAGGGGCAAATCCACGGAGGATCTTGAAGTTGGTGAGTGCAATCTTGATATTGATCCACGAAATTGATTGAGAGGCGGTGGAGGGATTCGAGCATTGGGGCGGTTTGGCCTCATTTACGGGTGCGGGTGGTGAGATGACTTGCAAGGGGCATTTTGTTGAATTTGCAGACGAGGGATTTGGGAGAGGCTGTAGAAAGGGAGCGTTGCAAGTAGTCGAGTCATGACGCGATCAAGGCATGGAGTAGCACGGTCGGCTTCGTACGATGCGAAAGAAGTTCAACGTGCACACACACACATGCATGGACGAGGGTCGTAGCGGCAGGAAATGGCGGATACGGGAGGCGTTGCAGAGGAGCAGGCAGAGTGAGATGCGTGGGAAGAGACCGGGAGCCAATGCTGCTACCACCACGATCGTAGCACTCGTCCACAGTGCAATGCACTTTAATCTATAGTTCACAATTAATGCACAGAATGTGAGAAATGCATTTTTTTACATAAAGAGAAGATTTCCTTTAACCGTTAAAAATCAAGATAAATGATAATCAGACAGACGGCTTGATTAACCAATCAGAATGTGACGCCGTGTTAGATGATCGCATTCCTGACCCTGAAGACTGTCGGCTCAGTCACGTGATCCGATTTCGGTTTGTGAACCGAAATGAATTTGGATCCAATTCTCTAGAATGCGGTACCGTTGGTGCGCGCATACTTTTGGCACGGTGCTTTACATAATTGCCATGAAATTGATGGAAAGGCTCTGCATTTTCGGAGTGTTTTTATTTGTTAAAATAATGCCTTGTAATCAACAATGAAGGCATATCTGCCAAAGTTTGCCACGCGGTCTTCTTCATCAGGACTATTCTATGAAAGAGTGTGATAACATTATCCTCAGAATCACAAAAGCTGTCATCACTATTTTGAAGAACAGTTCTAATGTAAAACTTAATATCAATGCAAGTCACGTATGCCTGACATCCAATCATTTGGGTGAAATGTGAGTAAAGACTCCTGATAATTATAAGATAGTCAGGAGAAAAAAAAACCTTTCCTTTTTTTAAGGGCAAAGATTAGTTAAAATCGTACATTAGACAATTTTTAAGCGTTCATATGAATAATGCACAGCCCTCTGTCCGTCTACTGCCGGATGAACGCCTTCCCACACCGTGTCGGCATTGAATCTTACTTCACCACACTGGGCAGTGCGGGTTGGAAAACGGGTGGAGGAGGTCCCAGAACTGGGCCAGAAATCACTCGCCACGGACGATAGCCACGACCCAGAGTCGAACTCAGGTTGCAGAGTACACAGCACAATGTGGTAACCACTGGCCAACCTTTAAAATTGGTCTGTTAATGAAATCGTACAATGTAAATAATTCAAAATACCTTACATAGAAAATTAATTGCTTGTTTTCCACCTTTAACCATTTTTAAAACGTAATTAATCACGTGGCTTACCACGTTCCTCAAGCCGCGAATTTTTTTTTATCGTCTTCACATCGCGACTGCGTCGAAGCACATCGGGCTACACTCGCTCTGCATATTTTTTGACTCCACAGTAATAATAATAATGATGATCCGCGATTAGCCTTGTAATATTATTCGGTGTCTCCAGTCCCTGGGCCCCCTCGTACACCGCTGGCGCTCTCCACGTGAGCTGCACTCACGCTGATGGCCTTGATGCCCGGCTGCACGGTTGCAGGCGGCGTTCTTTGAAGATCCGCCAGTGTCCAAGCCCCCAACGCTGCTGCTGCTGCATTTGATGCCTGTAGAAGCTGGCCGTGTGGCAAGGCAGCGTCCACGCTGGTAGCTGCAAGGCACGGATAATGTTAATGAGGATGATGGGGTTTTTTATCCAAATGTTTTTCCCATTTTTTTAACTCTTATTATTTTGAATTCTGAATATCAAAATTATCAATTGAATTCTGAATCGCAAAATTATCTAAATTACGTCGTGGTGTGTTGTTGTTTTCTTTAAACCTATCTACGTGACTTAACCGAAAGACCCAAAGAATATGAATTCCTGCAGTCACGAAAGCTTTGAGTCAAGATATAATATCAAAATGAGTTTAACCTTTCACATAGTTGACATACTTTACGTGTTTTTATTTATTTTTCACATTCATGCCATAAATTGCAATCATGATGTTGTTGCGTCTATACGTACAATATAGGGGTCATTAGTGCAGAGTTTTATTCACTGTCTACAGATTGTAAATGTTGTGGATTTACTCTCCAACACTCCGGTGTGCTGTACAAGTAACGAATTGGCATGTTCTGTTTACGTGACAAACATTACTAATTGTCTGTGTCGGGTGGTGGCGGGTTTAACGACACATTTATATATTTACGCGATCTAATCCCAAACAAAAAACCTGTATTATGGTTGGCTTATACTTTCAGCGGTGAGCAATTATAAACATGAAAGAGCAACTGCATTGGCCACTTCGGATTTTGTTTGGTTAAATACAGTATTGTCCGAACAAATCAACGTTTCCCCCTTTCTGCGCTTACCCGGTGATGTAATCAGGGATGTGTTGAATGAGCAGGGTACCGGTCGGTTCGACTGCTCATGCTTGCAGATGCAATGAATGGTCCACAGTATTTCATACCAATTTTGAGAGAGAGACAAAATACGAGCCGATTTTTTTTAAATAGAATGCACAACTCTAAGTATTTAAAGGTGTAATTTAGTTTTCATATAGTTTTATCCGATTGTATTGTAGTAGGTGTTAATAGTAGAAGGTAGGTACAAAGAAACACACATGCAGGCATTGTAATTGAACCATACATCTAAAACTAAACACGTTTGTCAATAACACTGTGGCCTTAAAGAAAACATATATAACGTGACATTACGGACTCCTTATATTGTAAGTGTGTGTTGGTTTGGCTCTAGGCGCTTCGGGCATTAACAATGAACCCTAAGTATCCTAATAGTGCCGAGGTCTCTGT